CGTCACCGAGGGTGAAAAGAGTTTGCGGGACACTAGCACCAAAAATGTACACCTGTTTTAACGAAGTTTATAATTTTAATTAGCCCTTTAATGTCCTTAGGATTATTAAAACAAAACATATGAGATGGAGAATATGTAGTAAGCATTAGTAAATCAGAAAACAAACGTAGATCAAATGATAATATTAATACGAATATCAGATAAAGAAGTCGTGCATGTCTAAAGTATATTTAACTGTGGATACGATCCAATGCTCGGTTTCTATGAATACTGCTAAGAAAATTGGCGGTCAAGCAACTCATGAAATCTCTTCATCTGAACACCTGTTGTCCTAGTCAGTTTACTTGGCGTATGTAGCTCACTGCAGTGATTTTAGCTCGACTCGTCACGGCTCGGTCTACGCAACGGGACGGCAGGTACACTTCGATCAAGTAAGATTCTGCTCTGCGCTGGCTGCTCCGTTGTTGTGGGTACACACTTCTACACGATGTGAGCCTTCAAAAAATAATTTAACTTGTACACTTACGAATCATGATACAATCAGCACATGGTAAGCCGACATTGCACCCCGTTATTACACTTCTATAACAGATTGCTAGGGTGGAATCACAAGGGAAGCCCACTAGCGCGTTTTAACTATATCTCGCCAAATAACACAGATAGCCCTCGATTTACGCCGGGGATGCGTTCCTGGACTAACCGGCGTAAACGGAATCGGCGTAAATTGAAACTTTTATAATGTAAATCAATGGGAAGTCAATGACATGAGTTACCAGCACCCAAACAGTGACGAGTAATATAATGGCATTACATTTAAGCTCTGAAATAAAGTAAATAAAATAAAGGGAATTTAAAAAATATATTTTGTACACTTACAATCGGCAATTCGTTAGTCCCCGCGATTGACTGCGATTCTTTCATGTGATTGATGTGTACAGGCATCTCTGCTGTTATGTGATAGTTCCACTCATGTAAGACGCCGATCTATAGAAAATCGCGTAGTAAAAACAACCCCGGTACATCCGCAGAGATTAAATTAGTCCTTTGAAAGTTTAAAGCGCGAGGAATGAAATTGCATAAGAGTAAACTCGCATATGCAAAAGTTTGCATTTCACTAACAGCTTTTACCGATTCATCGAATTCGCGTTAACGAAACATACGTAATTGCAGAGATGACTGTATTTATAATTTTTATTCAAAATCAGCGATGTAAGAATTACGATTTATTATACGAATCAGTACGAGATACATTGTAAAACGTTATAAATAATAGTAAAATATATTTTTTCCACTTTTTGACTTGCTGGTTTCAAAATCGGCGTTATTCTGAATCGGCGCAAATCGAGGGCTACCTGTAATTTATTCCAATTCAGTATTTGTGTTTTGTTTTCGTTGAGTAAGAGGTGAGAATTGAATACTAGAGACCGGATATACTGCTTAAGTGACTTATTGGCGTACTCCAAGTTCAGAAATACACTACTTTCATCACAAGGGCCCGCCATTTGACAATAATTACAGTCATTCCAAATGTATTTTGTTCTTTAAGCAGAGCATATGTCTCCCTCCCAGACTCCCCCTTCAAGTCGCCAAAGTAAACTACATAGACAATACCAGATTTTGAGTGAAGACCGTATACCATGGAGCTAGATGGTTGGTTGGTTAGTTAGTTCGTACAATTCTTGTACAACTTGACAGGACGTGGTGAAGGATGCAATAAATTCGTAATCAGACAAACATACTCTGAAATTAGTGGCACAAACTATATTCAAACACGTTACATTTTTCCAGGTTTAAACATTTCATGATCTGATACGTTGGCCCATTGGACTGTTCGTGGTCTCACAGCCTGCTACTAGAAGTGGATCCATCCCCAGAGAACCTCAAAGATCTACAAGGAAAACGTGACAAGAGTGCCTCTGGCGGCTGGGTTCACAAATTCACACTTGTCTACTCCCATTTCTACCCTACAAGTTCACGATGAATGTGAAGTGTCTAAACTAACACAGAATATCAGAAACCAGTATATATATCATATATTTTCTGCTGACAGCCGGAAAAACCCATGGAGAAGATATTACGAAAGCTGAAATAAATTATTATTTATGACAGGTATCCTTAACTTATAACAGTGTTTTAGTGATGAAAACAGAGTTAAATTTAGCGTTATTCTAAGGAGTGTTTGTTTCGAAAATAGAGCACCATAAAAAAGAATCTTGGTTACTTATTACGGTATTTTAAGGCAGATGTGTTCAGAAGTTCAATGTTCTGGCTTTATGAGTCATCAGATTCATTATTTCCGATAAAGGAAAGGGTAAGGAAGGATCGATTCAGATAAACCCATAAATATTCCTTTCAAAACAGTTACATCACTTTCAAATTATATATATATATATATAAGTTATGTTGCACACATATTTGTTCGTTGTGCGTATTTATCGTCTCTCCGTCTGACTGTCAGCAAGTTTCACTGATGTATTGAAGACATTTTCACTAAATTTGAATTTAATGTTTACCCTTATTTCTACTACATAAGCCATACTTTATTTGGAAATCAAAATTGATGAATTTTTTAAAAAAGATGTTCATAGTATAAATATATTCGCACTTTCCACAAAATACAAATTTTTATTGTCGTCAAATGTAATAACAAACATTATTCGATATGGTACGTGTCTAACAAACTAAGATCCGCTGAATTAGATCCATATACAAACAAACACTGAAAAAACATTATGAATTAACTACGGAAGTTATAATATCTGCCGTTCTCTAAACACAGATGTACACAATTACCATACAATTTTTAGGAAGAATATTACTAATACAAAGAATAAGTGCCTCACAGAAATGCAAAAATCTCTGCGCGTCGAGCCCCAATAAAACAATTTAAATAAACATTACACATTTAGCTACTGGTAACACTGTAACTTTATCATCATTAATTATAACGTCGTAACTGACACAGAACAAAATGACACTTGGCTGCGTATGTTTGGGCTCCGGAGGGGAGATTGGTCTTTGTGACGTCACAAACACAAGTTAGTACTCTTTAGATTTGTAGGTGCGGCGGTTGCCTGACGTCACCGACCACTGCGCAAGGGGCTTACAAGAGGAATTCCGTTTGCATCAGTTGTACCCTGAACAAAGTTATGTCTCTGGATGCAGCAATGTACCAAGTCGCATTTGAAGCTCCAGCTATGGACTGAGGTTGGATAAAGCGCTGTTTGACGGGGCCCAACGTAAATAACAGGGATTGTGATGGTTGATTATCTAACGCTGGTGAAATCACTTACAAGAAAAGATCAAACAATTAGGGTAAAATACCATCCTAACGCCAATTTTTCCAACAAAAATTCTACGTGGAATTACTTTGGATATAAACCCAAACCTTCGCGTTGAATTATTAGCGACGATGTAAGTAGCTGAGATTATATAGAGTCGAATAACATGATGATCAACAGATAATGAATTTAAATATACGTGGAAGGATGCGGTCTTGGCTCAATGAAAGGTACTACCCGGAAATTAGCCTGAAGGGATTGAGAAAAATCCAAGGAAATCCTCGATTAGCATAGTCGACCTCCGGATCGAGATCTGTACCCGGGGCCAGCCGAATACGAAGTAAACATCTGAACATGGGAAAGGAAGGAAAAAGAGACGGAGAAAATTACATTTTTATATTATTCATAAATGTCAGTCTACTCCTCGATCAAAATTATAACCTTCATAAAATTAAGAAATATGAGGTCAATTGAAGTGTGGCACGAATGAGGAACATGGGAAGTGAATATATAATTTTAGTCAGCGGACCTCATGAGAAGAGAACACTTTAGAGAATCAGACGTAGATGAAAGTATATTATTAAAATCGATCCCAATAAAATAGCATGTGAAGACGTGAACTGAATTCAGATGATTACGTTGGTGTTCAGTAGCGAACTCCTGAAAACAATCAACTGAATCTTCTAATTCAACAAAAGGAATAGTTCTTTGAACACATAAGCCTACCATCTGCTCAACTAGAATTATGTTTCATGGGTTTTATGGCTTCCAATGACAGTATTATTGAGGTTGATTGAGAAATACAAGCAGGACTCTTTCGCGGCAGGACTCCTGGACTTAGAGAAATCCAAGGAGCCCCTCAGTCAGTATACAAAGTGGCCTCTACTACGAAAATTCTTGCAGCTTTTACCTCATAATAAGAAGCAGAAATGCTTAACTTTACAGGGAGAGTGCTGCATGTTTGGCGTGGAATTATAATTAATTCTGATTTGGTATGATCTAGTTAAAATTCAGTGGTGGGCTTTACTTGTGATACCATCCAAGCAGTCTACTGGAGGAAATGGAACAACGCATAATGTCTGTTTACCTTGTATTGCATCGTGATTCTTAATTAAGTAACCTAAATTGCCTTGGAGAGTCTTGTATCGTGAAGAAATTCTGAGTCCTAAATACCCATAACATATGCTTACATTGCCACTGGCGTACAGAATGATTCTGTATAAACTACGTCTTATTTACAAAACTGGCATTCCCTGGTACATTATGAATAAAAAGTATTATTCAATTACTATGTGAAATATGTCTCAATTTTACGTACTAGCTGCATACCTCAGAAGTTTTCAACACTGCCGAATTGATATTACTGATTACTTGTCACAATATTCGCAGAAAATTTAATAAAATTTAATTGTCCCTAAGTTAATAAAATGAGACCAGAACACATGCAAAAGGTCATGATACCGCACGTAAATTTTTCCTTATAAAACGTAAAGTCGTCTGCAAGCACTGAAATCCAATTCACACCCTTCTCTATATGTTCTTGGCAGATGATCCAGAAGTGGTTTGCCATTGCCTTCTTCTGTGTGTGAGTGGAGTAATTGTTGGGATGCCACGGAGAAACCGGGGAAGCCCCCGGAGGAAAACTCCGTGTTGCCTAGACCACGGCCTTGCCCAACACAAGTTATAAATTCGGGCACCGCCGGGAATCGAATCCGAGACCCCAGGATTACAAGGCCAGCGTTCTAACCGTTAGACCACCGTCATATCATGACAAAATCCTGAAAAGTAATTTTTCTTACAGGATCAGTTTAGATTAGTTCGTGTTACATCTTCCAAGAATACTCCAAAATGCAGGCTTGGTCAGAAGAAAATCTTGTAAAAGTCTGTACCCAGATGATAATGAATAGCTTCAGAACACATCCACGCAGCCCAGTGAACTGAAGGAAATCTAATCTCTAGCTGTTTCGAGCTAGTCTTTACTCCAGACTAAATTTGATGTAACGCGATGCCCGTCACAAAACCAGATCTGATTCTACGTTTCTTCCCTTGGGAACAGAAGAATAAAAAAGAGTCTCAACGTAAGTAACGTAGCCCTTGCTGATTATTGGACGTTTGCTCCGAGAGATCAATGTTAAAGACGTTTCAGAATCATATTCCTGTTAAGAGTATATATATATTTTTAAGTCACTTGTTCATTCATTGGAAATTCAAATTTAAATCAAAGCCGCTGCATTAGGTTTAGAGACAAAATGTAATTAGAAATACTGACTTAAATTCACAAAATAATGATTTCGTATAACTTATTAAAAACTTTGCGAAGTTAAGATATTTGAGAACCATTATAACAAATCAAATTTGCATTCAAGGCTAAATTAAGAGGAAATTAAGTACGGAGAATGTTTGCTCGCATGCAATTCACAATCTTCCGGCCTGCTCTCTAAAAGGAAAGATTAAAACGTGCAGTATTATAATTTTCCTTGTCATTCTGTATTGATGTGAAACTTTACGTTTCATGTTAAAGTAAGAAACGAAAAACGCGGATTCAGTGCCCAAAATTAATTTAAGAGGGAGGAAGTGATACAAAATCGTAAAATTTTAATAATTTCGAGTTTTATATTTCGCACTCTCATCATATAGTTTCAGACTGAGCTAATAAAGCAAAATTATTGGAGGGCTGTGTAGCAGGCACGAGGGACATAAGAAATACAAAATTTTGGTTGGAAAGTCCGGAGGGAAGAGACAAATTGGGAGACCTTGGAGTGGACAGATTTATAATAGACCACTCTTATCTTAGTTGAGCTAAGAAATGGAGACTTTATCCTGCGTAGGACAGAGGCCAGTGGCGGGCTCTTATGTACACGAAAACAAACCTTCTGATTACATACAAGGAAGGAGGAATTTCTTGATTAGCTGATTGACTATGAGCTCTGTTCTGTGGACTCAGTTTCTTAGCACTGACTTAACTTAAAGCAAGACTTTGGTGGTAAAGGCAAACTACAGGTATCCTTCCTTTATAAACCCCAAACATTAGTTGAAAGAGCTATGAACGTAGCCTACTATTGTCACGCGAAATGAAAACCAGTAATATGTACGGTCAGTGCAACACACGTGGCTAAATCTTTTGGAAATACCAATAACAGTAGACCTATAAATCAATTCTAATAGCTTCTGGCAACTGTATATTACAGTTATTATTATTATTGAATTTTTGAGCTTCGTCCACTTTTTAACCTGAGGATGGAAAAAAGCTTTTCTTAGTTCCCTTCTAGGGTTCCGTATCAACTACGTGCTACATAACAGACTACTAATATAATATTAAAACAGATTTCAGAGAAAATGAATAGGAAGATGCGAAACTGGACTCACCACATCCTACTTACAAACAAGAAGTTTGAAATATTACAAAATTTTAATTTGATACTTTGTTACACGATATAGGGGTATGACATTCGGTCTTTAAGTCTGAGGAAAGAACACACATTTATGGCTTGCAATATACTGGTCACTACCCACAGAACTGGTAGATATAACACAATAATTAATTTCATGGCAGCAACATGTTTCGATTTTTTGTCATCAAAAGGATGTTTAAATGTACCAAAGCTGCATATTACTTATATTACACAGAATATGTACACACAACGAAGTGCTCCAATGCATTGTAATAGACTAAATGAGGTTTAGATTCCAATGGCAGCAAATATAAAGATGGCTGTATTCTGGGTCGCTCTGATGTTGGAGGTAGCAAGCACCTCTGAAACGTCAGTAAACGTCTACCAGGCTACATGACGTAATAATTAAGAGAACTATCATATTAATAACTGAATGTTTATGAAACAACGTTCTAAGAAAGGACTGGAGAATATATCAAATTAAGGACTTCTGTAATTTGTATACTACAGTAAACATTTATGTAAATAGTCAAGAATAATGATGATGAAGTGGACGGAACACTACGTATACATGAGGGAAATATTAAATATATACAAAATTTTGGCTGGGAAACTCAAGGAAAGAGAAAACTTGTTGTTTGTAGGATAGTATTAAAACGTGACTTGGTTCAGAGGATGGAGTGATCTGGTTTCATCTGGCTCAAGATGCGATCCAACACGGTTGTAAACCTTGGAGGGGGGCAAAATTAGACAGCTTCACGTACCTATTAAGCATATGAACATTTCAATAGACCACTGTGAATGGTAAATTCGTGAAATGGAGCAGACTGCATTCTACTGTAAGGATGCGTGTTATTGAAAGACGCTTTCAGATTCAATGCATCCATTTGCAAAGAATTCCTTCAATAGCTCAGTACTTGTCCTCAAGGAGTCAGACAAAAGTGAGATTCATTTCTGTGTCACTAGACGGGAACATAGCTCGTTAAAACATGTATTTACATCGATAATTGCGAAGAGGATATGAGAAAAATAAAAAATACATAATCTAACAATTATTTCGAAGTATAATTCTTAACATTTTATACACTTAGGACATAAATATAAAATGTCAAACATAACAACTCAAAACAATGCTTTGTACGTATTTTATCTATTGCCCACATACGTGAATCAAAATTACAAGCTAAAGTGGCAGTTAAAATCTTCTAAAATTCTGTAAATAAAACTAAAAATCCCCAATTTCAATAATGACGGCTGCCTTTTGGATTATAGCTCTGGGTAGTCTGGTAGACGTTCACAGAATTTTTAGATGTTCTTACGGCCTCATGATGGATGCGGGAAGGACCTTTGAACCGTTATAAACGCCTACCACACTACACGGCACAACAACATTATCATTTTCACGACCGTGTGAAAATCAAATCCCACTTAATAATTTTAATATTGAGTATTGGAATGGAACTTTTTCTGGTTTTAATTTACGCAAACGCAGTAATTATTATGTTACGTTTAAGCACATTGAATCTACACTTGTGAGGTGGGGGGAGCAGCCCACTAGATAAAGCAACCCTGGACCAAAAAGAGGCCATGAATGAATCTCTGGGTTCCATGAAAATAGGTATTATTCTCAGGTAATTAACTATCAGCTTCTAAATTAAAACCATACATCAAAGTGAGTAAGCATCTTTCTGTCATCAGCAGAAGCCGCGTAGCGCCGAAAAATTAATAATTATTATTAAGAAAGTTTCGAACAGGTTTTAAGGTAACGGTTTGTGCTTATTTTTAGGAAAATGGTAGAATGGAGAAAAGCAAGAAATCCCTCAGTCTTCAAGAGGATCACCAAATACTGCAGCATCCTTTGTGGTATCGTGTAGACTAAGCGTAGTTAAGCCCAGAAAGAACTTCGACAAGGCGCGAAGAACACACGAATTAACTCCCTGCATGTTTTATTTAAATTGATCGCCTAAATGAATGCATAATATTTATTACAGAAGGTAGATTCTAGTTGATTTGTAGGTCATTTGACAAGTTTGTATCAACTGTACACGATTAACCTTAATTTGAAGTAGAAACTCATCTATGAAACATGAATCCTGTTTTTCTCCACAATTTTCTTGTGAGAACGCCTTAAACATCTCTTTAAGCTTACAAAAAGTTCTCCGTTATAGGAGTTTACAGAGTAAATGTCATTCATATTTTAACCCTTTAAAGCTTAATAACAACTATATGCGCCACCTACTGAACAATCAATAATTCCTGCAATTTTTACTCATATTTATAAGTGTTGTATGATTCTCAATGTACACAATGATTATTTCCTTAAGCAGCATTAACTATTTGAACTTTGGTACGGTGAAGTCTTATGTTTCTTTGCGGTAAATAATATTTAGACGGGATTTCGCTTCATTGGGTTTAAAATATTTTCATTTTGTTTTCGTATTTTGCATCAACAATCAAATACACAATTACAGATAAATAAACACAAGAAAATTATTATTATTATTCAGTTCAGCTATATTTATTTGTGTGTTGACTTAGCACCTCAAAATTCAATTAGAAAGTTAGCAGAGGTTAAAAAAATACAGAAAATACAAATACACACAAACAAAGGCTAAACCAGGGCAATTTATATCATTCATGTGATAAAATTATTCAAACAACACAAATTTGTAGTCAAGAGATATTAAGGTAGAACTTTATATATTTATTATTGATACAATTAATATCATAATAAATTGGAAAGTGCCATAGTTATTATAAGACATGATTGACAGAAACAATTTTAATATTATACTCTCATCTATGGCTAGGTATCCCAATATGCAACTTCTGTTTAGATTTTCCTATCAAAATTTTGTATGCATTCCTCATCTGCATATGCGTGCTACACGTCCCGGTCATCCCGTCCTTCCCCCCTCCCCTGGTATCCTTATTATGTAACAACCTATTACAAATTGTGCATCAGTGCTACTTGAGGCTGGTTTCTGCGTGAAAGAACAAGATAGAAAACTGCCGAAGTTTCTGTCAATGACATTTTGTCTCACAGCATCCCCAAACATTTTTCTTCATACATAAAGAAGCGGGCGTCTTCACTGAGAAACAAAATTCTATATTTAGAAACCACGTAAGATTGCCCCTGTCAATTTAACAGCCCGTAAAACAAACTTCTTTTATTACACATAATCATCTTTCAAGAATAAAATCCAAATATAATATTTATAGCGTGTGAAAAGAACGTGTTTTTGTTTCCGGTTTATATGTAACGATGCTTGTAAAATAATTAATTTTTACCTCACAAGAAAAACGCCACACAGAAGCTACACATTTCCCTAACTGGATATCGACACAGGAAATTAAAGTAACAAGTGAACTCAGTTCTGCGTAGTTATGTATTAATTAATAAGAACTCTGAAGGTTTTATTTTGCCTCACTCTATTTATTTAACTACACTCAGATTATAAAGCGTCGAATTCTGTCTCAAGATTTAAGAACAGAAAGAGGGTTGAGTACAAACACAAGCAAAAGTTTTTAAGAAGCGGCTATGAGAATTTAGAAGGAAGAAATTTTATAATTAACTAACCCTCGTCTCTTGTACAAATAGGCAACTGTATTTACTTTTATTGCTTTATTTAACGATGCTGCCAGTAGCTAACAATGTATAACGTGGAATCAGAAGATCATTAACGAATTAATTGATAGAGATTTGGAAGGAAGTGGTAGTGGCTTAATGCAAGGATATAACTAGCCATTTTCCTGGATAAACTGAGGAAAACCACAAAAATTTCTTAGTCAGGCTATCTGGTGCTACAAGAATCTCCCCGTTTCTTTCGACTTCCCCTCATAAGTGACGTCACCACCGGCACAGTTAAGTTGATCGCAGTTTGTGTGTAACACCACGCCTAGCCTGTTATTAAATTTTGAAATAATTTATAAGTTTCCACAAAACTTGGTACAAACATCACACAAATGGGGAAGTACACAATTTGTATTTTTCATTTCCCTACCTCGGAAAGTATTGGCGAACTTCTCAGGTTAAGGAAACTTAATGCAGAACATTGAAATGTTGTTTCGACAAAACTCTTAATTTTACCTTTCAATTGATAGCGATAAATAATAAAGCATTACAGTCAGATATTCAAAATCTCATGTTTTCTGTCTGATATTTAACAGTTTTTAGGCGAAGTAGTTTCATCATGACAACCACCTTGAACTTATCTTTCTTAACATCGCGACAATGCAACACGCAACGTTATTTCCATGATAAAACTTACAAACGAGATATTTCGTCAGCAAAATTCATACTAGATGGCTCTAGCAGGCAAATCAGTAGTGAGTAGAAATTATGCAGAGGCAGTGGGTTTTTCACTCACTACTCAAATGCACTACACAAGACTAACAAGGATAAGTTGCCTTGAGTGACTGTCCTGGAAGTGAAAATGAAAATTATAAATACGGCACCGATAAAAATGTTTTGGTTCAACTTATTTTGACCTATAATTTTAGTGAGCACTGATTTCGATTGCTATTACATGTTTTCTGGGCAAATTTAATGAGTTTTCTAACACTCATATTTATTCTGGTGGGTCATGCTGGGTTTCGTGTTAATATCTTAGCATACTGAAGTTCGGATCGGAATACGCACGACTTTTACTGTTTAAATAATAATGTTGGCCGGGAATCGCGGAAAAAAGCAATGACTTGGAGAGTAAGTAAGATTTCCCCCTTGGTAACTTTGTCTCTTCATTTTAATGTTTTATTAATACGGGAGTTGTATTCGCATGCAGTTCATGTCTACACTACAGAATTGCTAGAATACACAGCAGCATGCTTAAAACGCTGAGTGTGAAGAGTTGAACGAGAGTGTGACTGCATGCGAGTGTGAATGGGAAGCAGGAGTGAGTGTGTCGGTTGGCAAGCGAGGAGTTGGCGAGGGGTGGCAGACGAGGTGCTGAGTGCGTGGGAAAGCGAGCGAGGAAGTGACGAGGAGTGGAGGGTATAGATGCGTATACAGGTACCAGCAAAAATAACGACAAACAGCGGCAAAACATAAATTAATTAGCATCAAACTTTGAATATCTGTAAACTAACTCCATGGAGCCAAATCCTTCCTCAGAAGTCAAGAGTAGTTCAGCTTCTCAAGAAATTCCTAACACTTTATGGAACTCGAACGTTTATTACTGTGTTAAGTTGATCGCAGTTTGTGTGTAACACCACGCCTAGCCTGTTATTAAATTTTGAAATAATTTATAAGTTTCCACAAAACTTGGTACAAACATCACACAAATGGGGAAGTACACAATTTGTATTTTTCATTTCCCTACCTCGGAAAGTATTGGCGAACTTCTCAGGTTAAGGAAACTTAATGCAGAACATTGAAATGTTGTTTCGACAAAACTCTTAATTTTACCTTTCAATTGATAGCGATAAATAATAAAGCATTACAGTCAGATATTCAAAATCTCATGTTTTCTGTCTGATATTTAACAGTTTTTAGGCGAAGTAGTTTCATCATGACAACCACCTTGAACTTATCTTTCTTAACATCGCGACAATGCAACACGCAACGTTATTTCCATGATAAAACTTACAAACGAGATATTTCGTCAGCAAAATTCATACTAGATGGCTCTAGCAGGCAAATCAGTAGTGAGTAGAAATTATGCAGAGGCAGTGGGTTTTTCACTCACTACTCAAATGCACTACACAAGACTAACAAGGATAAGTTGCCTTGAGTGACTGTCCTGGAAGTGAAAATGAAAATTATAAATACGGCACCGATAAAAATGTTTTGGTTCAACTTATTTTGACCTATAATTTTAGTGAGCACTGATTTCGATTGCTATTACATGTTTTCTGGGCAAATTTAATGAGTTTTCTAACACTCATATTTATTCTGGTGGGTCATGCTGGGTTTCGTGTTAATATCTTAGCATACTGAAGTTCGGATCGGAATACGCACGACTTTTACTGTTTAAATAATAATGTTGGCCGGGAATCGCGGAAAAAAGCAATGACTTGGAGAGTAAGTAAGATTTCCCCCTTGGTAACTTTGTCTCTTCATTTTAATGTTTTATTAATACGGGAGTTGTATTCGCATGCAGTTCATGTCTACACTACAGAATTGCTAGAATACACAGCAGCATGCTTAAAACGCTGAGTGTGAAGAGTTGAACGAGAGTGTGACTGCATGCGAGTGTGAATGGGAAGCAGGAGTGAGTGTGTCGGTTGGCAAGCGAGGAGTTGGCGAGGGGTGGCAGACGAGGTGCTGAGTGCGTGGGAAAGCGAGCGAGGAAGTGACGAGGAGTGGAGGGTATAGATGCGTATACAGGTACCAGCAAAAATAACGACAAACAGCGGCAAAACATAAATTAATTAGCATCAAACTTTGAATATCTGTAAACTAACTCCATGGAGCCAAATCCTTCCTCAGAAGTCAAGAGTAGTTCAGCTTCTCAAGAAATTCCTAACACTTTATGGAACTCGAACGTTTATTACTGTGTTCACAAACGCCCGCCACTGGTCCCTATACTGAGCCAGACAAATGAATAAATTGAAAGCATACGCCTAAAACAATGCTTATGTACTTCTGTTGACTTATTCCACTTTATCCCTAATCAGCTCACATAGGAAATGCTCTACAAGCAAAGGCTGCACGATACAGGACCTAATCGGACCCTTAAATACGGAAATGACATAAAGATATTAAGAAACCTGGACAGAAAACAACTCGAATTCGCTCATAAGAAACTGTTGAGGCCAATGACATTAAGAGTTGAAGAAGTCATTAGCACAAAACTTGGATAAGACGACATAATTGAAGACAGTTAAGAGTATCAAAGTAATTTGAAGCCAAGACTACTCCTACATAATACTAATAATAATAATCCGTGGCGTAACAGCTCCAGAGAGCCAAAGCCGACTAGCTTGACTGCTGGCCTCACGTTCACATACCTAAGCAGAGGTGAACGATCATCCAACCAGATATAGAGTGACGTGTGGTCAGCACGACGAACCCCTACATAAATTTATAAAATAAACTGCTGGAAAACAATACTTTGGATGCCTGGGACCGGATAATAATCGCCGAAACCTTGTTTGAAAAAATAAGCAATTTCCGTCCGGAACAATCATGGTAAACGAACACAACGGGGCTATAGGCCCACAGCAGGGAGACTTGAACAGCTTAAAGAATTCCTAACTCCTCTGCCCTTTGTCATTTTAAATTTCAAAATAAACGCCTTCTTGTGTTCAGAGTCATCCTTCACTGCATTTACAAACGTCTGTCGTTCATGTGATTTTACTTACTTTGTTGCTGTCAGTTGTACATCGAAAGTGCTTCTACGCCCCGGGTGACGTCATACGTACCTGCAAGGAAGAAATGACATTTAGGCACTTCGTTCTGTAAACTGATAGTGTAATTTGCGGAATTACCAAGGTTAAGTTCTTTGAACAAAAAATATCAGAGCTCACAATGGACACTTTCTTCACATACAAAATTTCCTCCGTCGTTGATTTAATTATATTTTGTGCAATTTTTTTCAATCACGCTAATTTTCTTAAGTATCTTATCTCGAATCCTTATTTTATTATTTTGGTGACTTATGAATTGAAAAGGACACAGAGATAGTGGTCGTATCCTTTTAGGTACTGCCCCGGCATTTGCCAGGAGATACTGAGGAATACCACGAAACTTCTCAGGCAGAATATCCAGTCTCCGAGATTTGAACCCGGGGCCTCCTGAATACAAAGTAGGAGTGCCG